GGACTGACTCAAAGTGAAGTAGTTATTTCACTAGTTTTGAGAACTTCATGAAATTTGGTTTCATTAGGAAGAAGACATTGTACCCTTTCACATAGTGCACAGAAAACGAGATGAAAATGGAGCGATACGGAAAAAAGTGGATATGACTGCGCGCGCACGCGGTCCTCATAATTTTGGACCACCCTGTAGAGAGCTTCTGAAATTGAGTCATTTGACGCTTTTTGGCTCAAATTCTTGGAGCTTAAAACTTTTGGTCAGCACTCGGTTCTGCCAGATTGTATTCAAAACAAATCGAGTCTCTACTTCGTGAGCGCTCCTTATGACTATGTAGTGGTCGTTTCAGGAGGGTATCTATGTACATATACGGTTGGGACATGATGGTCCTTTTGTTGAGCAGATCCTTGGAAGGGTGAAACTGCAAAACTGGCAGTTCCTGAAAGATGAAAGATGTCTCTCTGTGCTGTTTGGATCCGATGTCCGCGATCTCTATCCAAATAAAAGGAACATTTTAGCATGCACCATTTACGTAGTTTTCCAGCAACGATGAAAAGGTTGGACGCAACAGTGAAGAGACGTCCTGGACTGCGCTGAGCATTCGGCTACATTTCGGATAAAGCAAGGATATTTGAATGCTTGCAATGTAGTCCATGTAAATTGCAGTCTTTGCTGATGCTTAGACCAGTGTGTCGGCCTCGTAATTGATTGTGGGATCGAGTCCTGTGGCAGACAAGGTGCTGGATCCAGATCATGACTGGACAGTCATGACAGAGGGTGTTACGATTTTCTTGATAGCCTGGAATGTGCGCTCCAATTTTCAGTTGAGATCGTTCGGTTTGAACTTTAGCCAAACGTGTTCACTGCCGTCCTAAGTGGAGAGGAGTGACTATTTTTTGCCCCTCCCCCCACTCCTGTACGTATGCTTGGCTGGAGGTCGCTCTGAAATACGATCTCGGTAACGAAATCTTAGCGAATCTTCAGCAGTAATTTTACCAATAACAATACGTGTAAATTTTATGTGTGCAAGCTAACAACTGAAGGGACTAAAAAGAGAATTGATCAAGTCAGAGCGATTCCGCGATCTGTGACCAGTTAACCAGCGACACCAATGGCGTTTTATTGAGTTTACATCTGGCTCTGTTGTACTTGGATATTTGGTATGATTTATTGATCAATGATGTCTCGGTTATCACTTAGAAGTAGGTGTCTGGGCGAGATGAGATCCATTTCTTCAATGCCGGAATCGAACGGATTTTCTCGGCGTGAGCTTTAATCTGAAAACCACATAACTGGCAAGCTATATGAGAAGACAAAAACTTCACACTTTTCAGAGATTCCAGCAAATAGTTAAGCCTACTGATGGCATAGGAAAATTCTATAAAGCCAGGAACCTACCTCGGGAAAACCATCATAGAGCGTCGGATACTTCTTGGACCATGTGGCTATGTCAGACACCAAAAGATCAACCCATGTCAACGAGTCTCCCACGAGATATCCTGAACATTTCTTCCAACAAAATCTAGGCATTTTAATTCTCTTCTAACAAGCGGACGAAATACCACGGGAATACGAATGGTATTACTCTTTGTTCCTACAGTTAAAAAGTTAATATTGTTCCAAAACAGGGCACGTAATTGGCAGTTGGTGGCAAAGTAGCTCTAAAACTTGCTACCAGCGGGATAAAAAGTAAAGAAGAACGAGCTCTAAAGTAGAGATGTTAATAGGTGAAATTGAGTGAGAAAGAACCCCCGTTAGTACTCGACTGATCGTAAGGGTTTTCACTACTTCCCGGGAGTTCATGCAGACGACTACCGGAGCACTAAACAGGCAAGACATGCATTTTTGAAGAGCATATCGTAGGGAGGCGTGTATGGAGCACAAGACCGTGCTTCATTTTCGGTGAATGGTGTTCGTAGCGCTGAATATGGTGGACTATCCATCGATAGTTCAATTCTCGGTGGTGACAAAATTTTGCATTTTATGTTGATGCTCCTCAGTTGAGACGAGATGGCGACAAATGTCAAAAGTGATGCCATATTTATGACCCACATTGGCACCAAAGAGTAGACGTTAACTCTATATTGCACACTTTTCTTTCTTTTCTTCAGGTTATTTTTCCTTCTTTTCTTGCGTTTGCCTTAGCAACGTAATAAACATAACATAACATAGCATACTCTCAAAAGCCCTTCCAATTTACAGTAAACACCTCAAAACAGTGAATACCGTGAAAATTGTTCTTCTTAAAAGTGAAACGGTGGCTATTTGGCCACTCAAGGTGCATAAAGTTAGCTAGAAAGTCGCTCAGCACATCATACGCTCCCACTTTCCTCATACTGAACTTTTGCTAGTTACTGATGAAAAGCTTACCAGACTTGTTGTTCTTGAGAAATTTCGTAAGAAATCCGAAAAGCTTCTGGTTAGCTGGCAGAAAAACATCTTTCACCACGCTTCCTAAATTAGTCCTATCTCATAGGATGATGCTTTCGTTTGCAACAAAGAGTACTGTGTTGCACGCATCAGAAGCTGGTGACTCTTATGCAATCCTCCTCACCAAATCACCCTTCTCGAATCCATGCAAGACCATGTAGAACTGCCGAATATTCGCGTGTATAGTCCTTGCATAAGTCGGCAATCGAGTCAACAATGGCTTCCTCCCAAGCACTTTTGCCGGCAAGACCTTAACAACACTGCAAGCGTGTTCAGTTGTCGATTTGAAGATAACAATTATGATCATTTGGTTGTAGTGAAAATGTAGTTCGGGGGCATCCTATCTAATCGGAGTGGAGCTGCGGAAAGACACTTATATCTTATCATATCTTTCACTGAGACATGGCCTACGACTAGTACGCTTACCCTTGTCATATTATTCTATGGCTAAAATGGCTGCTACCTTGCTGGCTCTTCACTTTCACCTTCTTGCGACTGCCATGCAAGCCCTCGAAGAAAGGGCCTTTCAGGTATCCGATTTTGTATGGAATCTCGGGTTGGTATCCCTATCTAATCATACACTCAGAGACTGTGCTCTGGATGTTGATTAGATATGACCGCCTTCCGCAGCTTTACTTCGATTAGATATTATTAGTGCCCCCCGCACTACATTTTGTCCTTGATTGTGTATTAAAAGCATACAAAAGCAGTGGAAAAAGAAATAGGTACCAGAAAGAGGATGTGAAGTTCTTGAAAAGCTAAATGGAAGGTCAGGCCTCATTCAAGATTGAGTCCGCTGGCGACTGCTTTACCGTTTCTGAAGTGGTGCGTGAATCACGTCTTGTGACGTTTCGCTCAGGAATGGACTTCCCAACGAGCATTCTTGGGGTGATCAGCTTTGATATGTGTCGTCCTCTTCTTTCCCTCTCTCCCTATGCGAACTGCCTCAGAAGACTTACGCTTACCGAAACTCCTAGCCAAATAGCGAGCGATGGCATGCGATTGAGCGAGCTGCTTCCCATCGACTTCAAGTACTGGCACCTGACCGAACGGCAACTCTAAATGCGTCAATATAAGAGCTCTAGTTCACAAGATTTCATTCGTTTTGTTCTAGAACTATGTTGGACAAGATGTTCTCACCTTCTTTGTGCTTCGGGAACTCCTCAAAACTGTACCGCACATCTTCGAAGTCGCTTCCACCTACGACTAATATCTGAAACATTGAGGTCCAAGAGAATTTTCCAGCAAAAAAAATCAAGCCTTTACGAAAAGGATAGCTCACTTGACGAATAATTTCTGCAAGACCACGGCCATCAAAATATGTCAGCTTGTAATGAACCATTCTGAAAAAGCATTGACTGAAACGAATGTTGGCGAAGGTACTAATTTGTTCGTGGGTGCTATGTGTATGGGACGAGCACGCCGATTTTCGAGTAAACGAAATTTCGGGAAAATTAATAAAGCCTACTCACCCCAAAGTCACTTCTTTTTGCATTTGCTCCAGTATAAGGAACAACTTCGGGGTGGGTTAACACATCATTCGGGGCAAGTAATAATATAAAAATCGGCGTGTCCACCCGACTCACATAGCATCCGGTTTACTTCGAAATCTAATCAAAAGCTACAGAAGTTATGGAGGGAAGTTTACGGTTTCAAAACTTATCGGTTAAAAAGAGAAGGAGGAAAGTATGAGCGTTGGGTGGCCTTGGTTCTTTGTCGGTGCATCCGGCCAAAAAACATACACTAATTGGTCTGAACAATGATCACTGATCAATGTTCCGCCCTATTGGTGCTATCGTAGATTGCAATTCGCCAGTAAGGTCACACTGATTAGCCATCTACGAGGTCGAAGATCATCCGAAAAAGAAAGCTCGAAGGCTATCTGAAGGGGAATAGTAATGCTTAATACCATCAATGCATCCAGTTTCAAATCGAGGTGACCTCTGCCGTCATAAGCCACCAACCTAAAGCCCTCGCTGGAGCGGCGCCGCTTTGTACAGAGACAACTTCATTATACAGGGGGGGGCAAAAAAAGACATTTTGCCCATGTCGCACTTCGGCCTTTTTTCTTCGCAGAGATTGCCGTCGTTGACGGAAGTTCCTCAGCAAAATATTCCCTAAATGTCCCTCTATAAGTACACGCAGGCCCTCCTTCACTACCCTCACCGTCTTCAGAATATGACGTCATCTGTCCATCGTCGT